ATATGTATATATATATATACATATATATTATCATTTTTTAAATAATGGGGACTACTTTTATGGCATGCAAGTGCAAAGTAGGAATTTTATAAAATATTTTAAGGTGAAATCTTTTCCTTTGCAATATTAATTGAAGTTATGTCGTCAAGGAGTTTGAGTATTATAAGAAAAGGAACATTGCTGAAGTAAACAAAGCTTTCAACAGAAATGATTTCCAACTTATTTTAAGGTGTTGTCTTTTTTAATTTCAGTGGTATGGGGAGAAACACGTGTTTACATGTGGATTGTAACTTTACAAAGCTGCAATATATTACAAGTTATTAATAAAGGGGCTGTGCTGCTCCTGGAGTTTTGTCTTTATCCTAAAGTATTACAAATGAGAGACAGGATTTTTTAAAATCCGTGGTTAATTTTTAGAAGCTGACAACCCTTCCTGATTTTCATTTACATGTTTATTCTAATTGTAAGCTTTAAAGGTGATTTATTTGCCAAAGCTGCACATTTTACTCACTAAATAAAGATGAGACATACTGAGGAATATCTGCAAGGTGTAGGCTGCTTTAAGACTTCTATAATTTGCAAACTGAATACAAGAATAACCTTGTTAATAGATGGTTATTATGAACCACATCACTGATGGGTATGTGACACCTAGTTCCAGTCTGTCTGCCTCGGGAAAACTCACCCAGTCTCCCCTCCATCCTCCACTGGGTGCCATGCAGTTGTACACTTGTGCAGGGTTGTAGCAGGTACACTCCGACACAAGCCTACACACTGACGCAGATAAGGCTACATAACTGTGGGCAGCCTATCGCCGGCTGTATACAACCGATGTGATCTCATGTGTAATCTGGCAACAATGTGGTCATTTCTTGACATGCTGAGGTTATATCACACCGCCAACCCCCCCAGAAAAGCCGAGTGAACACCTCAGAGGCTGCGTCGGGCCTAAACATTTACTCCATCACTACCTCTGGTGCTGTTTTGTAAAGGAAACACCGACTAATCCAAATAAGCCTGACGCGCACTCACCACCATTGCACACACACACTGTCGTCGTTAGTGGCACGCGCAATCCCCCCATCCCCGCCACACATACACACACGCGCGCGCGCGCGCGCACATATACTAGGCTACATGATCTGACAAACCCATTGGTAATAAGGGGAAAAATCACACATTTTGTGTTTGACATTAAGCGCAAAGGATAGATCCTTATTGATCTTTAATCCACAGGGGGAAATCATATCAGGCCTGCTGTTCTTAATACTGCTGTCGGTGTTATTATCACCTTTATTATTATCATAATCCTAGCCCTTGGGTATTATTGCGACCTACGATCGAAGGTAGCTCTTTACGCATTGCATCCTAATAAGCTCATACGCTGTCTGCACGATCATTTCCATACACTTACATCTCGGTGATGTTTTCCATGTCATCTAACGTGAGGACAGGGAAATCCTCGATCCCCGGTACGGAATCAATACAAACAATCCTTGAGATGCTGCAAGTGCAGGATGCGGGGCAAGCATCGCTAAATCTCCACAGCCCCATCAAAACCAAAAACAATCCAAGACGAGCCATGCCATATTCCCCCGCGCTGGAGTCCATCGCAGGTCCAATGATATCCCCCGAATCCCCCAAAACAGAATCTGCTCAAATTGAATTATTGTTAAGATTTCCTCCCTCGCTGCTTTTTATCTGGCCAAGTTAATCCTTTCGACTCCGCAGGATAAAAAAGAAAAAGACTACGCCGTCGGTTAGGAATGCGCAGAGCCCACGGTTTTAATATCAAGATGCCATGGACTGGCCTTCCCGTCTCCGCAGAGCTGGTATCACACTACTGCATATCGATGTCGTGAAGCAAGGTGTCAAGTGGTCCGTCCTGGTGCTGCTGCTGCTGCTGCTGCTGCTGCTGTCTCACTCCTCTATCTCGGGCACAGACTGTTCGCCTCTGCCTTGTAAAACAAATATGAGGTGTTCCAGATGTTTAGAGATCAATAGGCAGGGCCCCCACGAGCGATTTCTCATATGTGTGGTGATGGGGAGGAAAATAAGAGAGACTGCACAGTGGAGTAAGGATGCGTGGTGATGCTGCGTGTGTAGGGAGGAAGGCTACCTGCATGCGTCTATCGATTATCGCCGAGGACGAGCGCATCTCCCCCAGCCATCACTGGGATCGGGTTTATAGGGGGAGATGGTTGCGATGATACCCCGGAGAGATGTGTTTCTGACAAGTTGTATTTATAGGAATTTCTCTGAGGTTTTTTTTTTTTTTTTTTTTTTGGATCGTGCAACAGAACCTCAAACATCATATGCTGCAGTCTCATCGGGCTGCACGAGTGGGCAGCTGTGGGTCAAATGCCCTGTTTGTGGCGGGCACAACAACAATATGGATGTAAACTCTTGTGTTGTAGTTGCTCTGGAGCCATGCATTGGATGAAAGCAGCGCTTTTTCCACACCAACACTGTTGTACGGTTGGCCATTAGGCCTATAGTGTGACGTACGGTTGACGCACAAGACGGGGTGCATCTATGAAAAATAATTACCTATACTATGTCTGTAAGCTTCAGATGGGTCTCACTCCAATCACTGGCCAGTGTGCGATATAGGAGCAGGAATAAAAAACACTTGCTTTCTATATATATAAAAAATCCTGGCAAAAAGCATGTTGTCAGAAATTATGTATTTTTTTCTATTAACTTTGGCACAGTTCACAGAAAAATAATTACACCCCCTGTCATCAAATGAGGCATATTCAAGTTCAATAAACCTCTTCAATAGATTTTAATTTATGAACATTATTTAGGGGCTGACCTGCAAGCATACTGGGGTCCACCCACCAATGTATATATAATTAATCCATACATTTTTCCCTTTAATGCCCCAAAGAGAGCAAATATAAACACTTTATGTTTCAGTCCTTTGAGAGTTACAGTGCAGTGCTCAACATCAAGGTGATAATACATCCCAAAATGATCAAATAAACCCTGTTTACCAGTGGATTCCTAAATTTCACTCATAATGAGGAGGCATACTCAGCCAGGACACATGATCTATGACAGCCTGGATGGTTAGTGTCGCTATGGTGACTTGCTTTTTACAAATAGCGCTGACAATGTCAAGTGTCGCTATGGTTGCAGATGAAAATATGTACGCAGGCTTTTTTTTTTTATGAGAAACATCAAGAACTGAATTATATCTGTCTCCATGGTAACCTCAGAGTATAGGAGAGGGAAGAGAGCTCTTTATTTTGCAATAGATCCTTGCCTATATCTGAAGGAGCATGACAACACTGCGAGAAAACGGGGGGGGGGGGGTTAAAATAGATCAAGTATGGACACAAGTCAGGCTCCTGATTTGCAGTAAATGGGCAGTGAGGTGACGGCTCCGGCTGCTGATGTCAGATTAATAGGTCTGCTCTAATGGCCTTATCATTTTAGCACTGCAGGAAAACTACAGTCAATCCAGCTGCACTGAGAAAACTGTTTGTGCATCTGTGCATTACTTGTGAATTCAAAGCACAATTTCCTTATTTCAGTTAACTGTAAATGTATATTTTTTCATTTTTTTGATCACTTGAAGCATAGATGATGCTCTTAGCTGGAAAAAAATCTCAACTTTGAGGTTGTTTGCCTTGCACCAGCAGAAAGAATGTTAACACTCTCCCTCCTCTCGTACATTTAGCTTGGTGTCACTTCTGCATCATCCAACTCTGCAACTCCTCCATCTCTGCTACTAACTCTTCCTGAACCAGCTGGTGGCAGACTTGTCTTGAACCTTGCGTGCGGTGATGCAGCTGTGACTCAACCCACTGATCTACATCCTGCACTATCCACTGTCTCTCAGCGTATGGATTAACAACACTGTTGCACTGCTGTGTCTTATCTGAGAGAATACAAACTATAGTACTGTGTAAGACATGACACATTTTATCTATTTCAGACCGAACTGTGTTTCTGAAACTGGTCATCTCCGAGGATTCATGAGTTTAGTTTTTGGGGAAAAAATAGATTAAACTTGCCTTTATCAGCATCTCGCATGAACATCATGAGGATGAAACATGCTTGGTGTTAGGACAGGCTGAACTCTGAGTTGGTGTAGGTGGTTGAAGGACTTCCAGGTAATTTTGATAATTTTCTACAGTTGTTTATTATTGCTTTTTTGGAGTTTTAACTTCCCACATACCTTTTAAAAAGCTTCATGTTAGGGTTCCTGATATTAGGGTTGCCTTGAACTTCCATGTGCACCATAAGGATGAGTGAAAATATCCATTTCAACTTACGTTTGCTGACGTGCATGTTCTTTTCTGTTGAGAATCCAGCCCTCCATTCTTCCTCCACTCCTTCTCTGTAAAGATAAATTAATAACCGTTATCAGACTTGATTTTAAACAACTCTATTGTATAAATGTGATATGCACTGCAGGCAAAACAAATGAATATAATTCCACACAGTTTTTTGTCATCATTTTGTTTCCATAGTCAACCTGAGCAGCATAAATATCCCTTTAAAAGTTCCTTGGGGCTCCTGCTCGTGAGGCAAGTTCAGCGGTAGTTTATGCATCCAGGGGTTAAACTGGGTATGTCACAATTATCTGAACCTGGGTATTCTCCCACCAGTCAGCTGAGCACTGTTCCATAGGAGGGACTGTGTTGTTCAGATGAATGGGCCACTGTTGTGGATGGTGATCTAATGATCTTTACAAATGAACTGCTGGTGTGATAGGGAGATGTCTGGCACCTACAGGTGGAAGCATCAAGTTCCTCTAACAAGTGCAAACAACTTCTGAGCACCAAAGATGTGCTGGTGTGGAACAAAAAAAGCACAGAGCACAAGTACATATAAGCACAAGTAGAACACTCAAAGCCCTTTGTGGTTCTCATATGTGCATCCACTTCTGGGGGTGTAGTGCAAGTCAGGGAGAAACACTGCTTAACACTGTGGCTGCACTGAATGTAGGGCTGCAACTAACAGGTATATCCAATGGCACACATTGCTGGCCACTTACATCTACAGGAGAAGGGACACTCCTTTGAGAACAGCAATGTGCACATCTTTTTACAGCATCAAATAACTAATTGGAGCCAAGCTTATTAGAAAAACGAACTCTTGAACATACAGCAGCGTGATAAGAACTAGGCTGCCTAAAATGACAGAAAACATCTTTGGGAAAAAATTATATGAGGTGTACATTGAGTTTTTAGTTTAGCTTGTGTTACATCCACTAAAGTGGAGGGGGCGGGCTTTATGACAGATACTGCAGCCAGCCACCAGGGGGCACTTTTGGAGAGCTGTCATGTCGTCCATCTTTACATACAGTGTACGCCTGAAAATAAGAATTGTCGTGTTTTCGTTATCTTAGAATAAACAGTTTATCTACACATGGAGCAGGTCCTCTTCTACAGAGCCCGCTATCTTGTCTCTACAGAGGCCCAGAATGGACAACAACTAGCCTTAGATAGGGCCTTTAGCATTTTTGAGTTGGCTACCGTAGTTCTCCTACACGCTTGGCACACAGAATAAGTTTCAGCTGGTAGCAATGTTGCAACCTCACCACTAGATGCCACTAAATCCTTCACACTAGACCTTTAAGAAATGTCAAACAATGGAGAAATAATGGCTGTAAAATTTCTCAGAGCTCAAGGTGACATTTTCAGATGGAACCCCAAAGATATTCTGTTAATAATGATTCAAGAGTTCAAGATCAACTGATCAATTGATTAAGCTGATTTTTGTGTTCCAGTTGGGTGTTTTTTGTATCCTCCCACCAAATACAATGGGGGCAATGGTCATTAACGAACCACACTTGTATTTTCTAGCATATTTCTCACTTTTACAGTTAAATACTCTTCAAGTTTTAGGACTAACAAGCCTAGAAGTACTGGAAGAGTGTCAGTGAATGACATAGTCTCAAAATATCTTTAAATCTTTAACCATATTTAATTTGGTCAGTTTGCCTGTTTGATGCACTCAAAATCAGGTGAGACTTACGGTAATATGTAGTTAGTATTGAGCTGGGACGCAGCCGAAGCACATGAGCACTGCAAATGTAACTGTAAATTAACCTGACAGCCTGAGCTCAGGGAATTAAACTTGTAGCAGACACGCCGTAGTTGAAGTAAATGGAGTGTCTGCCAAGGGGGGCGGGGTCGAGAGGGACCGCTGCCTGCGAGTCTAAACTCAGGGTGAAATAACAGAACAATTAACAGTGCGTTTGATAACTTGTTCTTCTTGGCCATACGGGTACATCGGAGTCCTCGCTGTGAATGTAATGGAGCTTAGCACCGCCCGCCCGTGCTGACTTTATACCCATAAGTAACAAACCACCGGGTGAGTGTCGACGAATCGAGCTCATCCACAGTGTCTCCTCTCCATGCTGAAAACGTGCGAACGTTTCTGGGCAAGGAAACCGTGGAGGACCGCAGTGAACGTGGCTTTGCTGCAGGTTCGTTTTTCCAACTGTCACACCGTGTTAGCTCGGTATTTGACGTTGCGTCATCTAGCCTAATTGCTATCTAGGGTCCACGTAATTTGATTTCACAGCTGACATTTACGAGGAGAGCTGGATTGTTCCATGTTATGTCTCGCCAGTGAACGCTGTACAGTCGCAACGTGTACACTGTAGCTGGTAGACACGCCTCGCAAAACACACAGACAGCAGCTGGCTAGCTTAGCGGAGCTGTTAGCTTAGCGAAGTCATGTCAACTTAGCGCGGAGCTTGCTAACTTCTGTTTGCAGGCAGACAGCTCAGGTGACAAACATGTTTTCCTTTCGTGTGTGCCAAATTGCGCAGTTACCTTTTTATGTAACGTTCACGGAGCTGTTTTACATGTAGGCGGAGATAAATGGGGAAAGGATCGGTGTAACTAGTTTCAGTGCATGGTGAGGGGTTCTCCCCCACAGACGGCTGATTTGTTAAGCAATAATACACCTGTATATTTTCTGGACAACCTCCATACATGGGGGTAACTGTGAATGCTCTTGTAAATCCTGCATCAGTTAAAATGGGTGCATATTCCTGCGCTGTGTAGGCGTTAACCAGCATCTCCTTATAACTTAGCAAGGCCTCTGTACAGTGAGTGATGCTTGGACAAGTCCAACCTGTTTTTGCAGCATTTTACTAGCAACAGTGGTCAGTGCATGTAGGTGGACTGCATGCGTACAGTAGAGTTCATGCAAGCTACTTTGAGACTATATTTAAAGTTTCCAGTCCTAGATTCAGACTGTTACAATGCTGAAACACCCAGGCAACAGCACAGGTCAGTTTTATGTATGTAGACCAAAATCACAAATCACAGATTTGCCTCAAGGGGCTTCACAATTTGGACAGCACAGGACACCCTCTGTCCTTAATCCCTCAATTTGAATACGATAAAAAAAAGCTACAGAGTTACAGTTGAAATTATTGATCGAATAGTGGATCAGTAGTCTGCAGCTCCTTTGTATAATCCAGTAATCGCCAAACACTCTGTTTCCAACTATAAATATGTAAGAATTTGCTGCTCTTCCTAATTTTATGTGGTAGTAGACTGAATATATTTTGGGTTCTGACTGTTTCTTGGACAAAACAACACATTTGAAGATTTGAAGATGCAGAATGGGAACATATAGTGGACACTATTTTGGTGTGTTACAGGCCAAACAATCGGTTACTTAATAAAATGACTGACAGATTAACTGATAATAAGAAATGTTGGTTGCAGCTCTTATAAGAATACTTGATGTATCTTTGCTTGTACCATGTGTAGCCATGCTGATTGCATTTTGTCGCCCACCCCCTCTTTTTAGCAGATCCAGGGAGAGGAGCCTGTTTGCATTCCATTGCAGGTGCAAAACAATGGAGGTGAAACTCGATCAGCAAGACGAAGACATCTCATTCAGCAACACTGACACTAATGGTAACATCTTACACATCTGCATTTTGATCATGACCATAACATAAACTGCAAGTAGAAAATAAATTGATCCCGTGGAGTGTTATATCCAGCTTAAAGTACAGTGTGTAGAAGTACTGGCTAATTAGTTCACTCAAGGAAGTAAAAAAAGAAAAAAACTGAACATTTCTGGCTGGCACTACATAGCATGTGGACCTGTCAGATGGTTGCGGGATTCTCCTGTCCAAGATACTGCTGTTCGGTGGGCCCTGAGCAGATCTGCCCATGTTTTAATCCAGGAAGGGTACATGTTGGCGCTGGACATATTCCAGGATACAGTTGGCTGCTAAATGAAACACTTTCTTGGGGTAGAACATACTGTAGACCTAGCGCTCGCCATGTATTCATATTTTTGTCTATTCTATTAACCCTTCAGTGGATGTGGTTGTTAATGATCATTTGGATGTGTCTGGCTCTTTTTTTTTCTCCAAAGTATTATGGCAACATAGTCCTACATTTTAGCAGCCATGTGTAGCATTTTATGTGTTTATAGAAGATAAATGCAGGATTTAGATTTTAAAAAATCTTTGTGAAACATGAGAACATTTGAAGAATCAAAGATTGCCTTTTTAAAACTGCCATGCAGGGGTGCTTAAATTGGAAATGTCAAAATTCTTCGGCTATTCTGCTACTAATAAAAACCTCGGACAGAAGGATTGCCGGGCTCAGATTTGACCTGCATTGTCTTCCCTCTCAGGTAAACGCCCAGCTGAGGACATGGACGAAGAGCAGGCCTTCAAACGTTCTCGCAACGCAGACGAGATGGTGGAGCTGCGTGTGCTGCTTCAGAGCAAAGTAAAGACCCATTCACTCTGTGGGCCATGTTAACTGTTGGTTCACACTGTTGGTTATTTTTCCCCTATTGATCAAAATGATTTATTTCTAAGGAAAACCTTTTTCTCCACAGAATGCCGGTGCTGTTATTGGAAAGGGTGGCAAGAACATAAAAGCCCTACGCACAGACGTGAGTAAACGGATAAAATGCTGCTGATATTTCTGCAGCTGAGACGAAAATTTAGTTGTCTAATAAAATGAAAAGGATCCAGACCTAAATTCCAATCAGTTTGGACTCCTGAGGAAACAATCCCAGATTTCTTGCAGGTTTGAGAATTGACATGCACTGTTAGTCAAAGATTAGTTTTCTTTAACGATGAAACAAAGTTGGCTCATGTGGAAGAAGAGAAGGAAGGCCTTGTTAGACATTTTGTTTCCAGTCCTCTATGACTGATTCCAGTTCCCCTCACAGTGTTGAAGCTATGTTTGACCTTGAAGTGACACCAGGTGCCTGGAAGCCTGACTGGACATAGGCTCAGGGACAAAAATCTCCAGACTGTTTTTTATACTTATCTTTGTCCAGGTCACACTTCCTGTTCTTCTTCACTCACCTCAGTTTCAAGTCTCTCATTTCACTTTTGGGACAAAGTATAGCGTGTATTCAATTAAAAATGTATTCCTTCTCCCCCTCTTCCCTTCTCCTTTACTTTTTTTGTTTTTATTTTTGGCCACCTTCCTCCGTTGCCCATGTACTGGATCGACATGCCCCTCCTGCGTTGCCCACCTTGACGTTGGCCCAACCTCCGCCCGTCCCTGAACGCCCGCCCGCCCGCCCGCCCGCCCACCTGACACTCCCGGTTGGCCCCGCCCATAAACCGTGTCCCTCCTTAAACGGGCACCTAACTTGACATCTTGTGATTGAATGCCCCCGCCCAATGCCAACCTCCTCCACCACAACCACCACCACAACCACCACCACCACCACCTCGGCCCATGCAGTACAATGCCAGTGTATCAGTCCCAGACAGCAGTGGCCCAGAGCGGTATGTCCCACCAGTTATTGCCTCACTGCCTGATTAGAACAGTGAAACACATGTCTTTGATAACTTGCCTTCTGTTTCATTTTAACATTTTTATATACATGACAGTATACTCCCCCCTCCCCCAAAGACCCCCCTCCTCCACTTGTAAGAGACGTGTATTGTTCCTTTTGATTTTTATGTCCATTTTAAGCATCTCCATTGAGTTGGACTTTTTGTCATTACAGTTTATTGTCCAGAGTCACTGACAACCCACTGCCAAGTAGTTGGTATTGAATGGATAGCAGCACAGCTGTTGGATGTTGTTTTTCCGTGCTGTGATGTTTAATTTCACCATGAAACTTGTGGAAAGCAGACATCTTTTTCTCGCTCTGTCCTCTGTGGCCCACCTGGCCCCCTTACCTCCGACCTCCCCCCTCCTCCACCCCCCTCCCCCACTGTTGTCAGCATCACTGTCCATGATTTTCCGAGAGAGCGCTGGCTCTTGTCTGGAGGCTCCGTCCCCCACTCTGTCACTCATTAATGTCGTGTCTTTATTTCATTGTGCTGTTCTGTTGAATTTCTCTCAGGCCATATCGGATCAGAGCTGCCTGCCAAACCTTTCATAACCCCCCCTCCCCTCCCCAACCCCCTCCACCCCTGCTCCTGTCCTGTGCCACAAAGTAGTTGGTAACCACACGCATCTCCTTCCCCACCTCAACCCCTCTGCTCTGTTACTCTTCTCTACTGCCCACCTCGTCTCCTCCTCACCTCAGCCCCGAGCCCCCCTCCTCCCCACCTCTCCCCTCCTCCCCAACCCCCTGGTCACAATGAGAAGGTGTGCTGGTGGCGCAGTTGTCATGGCAAGCTTATGTTTGAGTTTATGTTCCTTTTCCCCAACTTGCTGGTGGTGGGATGGTATTAAAAGATCTCTCTCTCTCACACACCCTCTCCCCCAACTCTGTGTGGCCAGTCTCATGTTAGTTTGAGCCGTTCTGAAGCTGCCCATCCTCCCAAGACTTCTCTTACTTAATGATTTTAGAATGAGTGCATGTCAGCTGCTTATTTCATTAGTCTAGTGTTGGGGAAAAGTTATAATTGTGCGTAGTATGCAGCAGTCTTACTTTTTCCTTTTTATAGTTTGAAACCTTTCGTCAGTTTGTCCGTCACTGTTTGTTGGACTGCTTCTCTCTTTGCCTTTTGTCTCCCTTGTAATGCCTTGCTTCCTTTTGGGCAAAATGGTTCCTGACAGGATCCTGAGTGTGAATGCCAGCATCGACACTATTGGAGAGATTCTGCTGAAAATCATACCAACTCTAGAGGAGGTAAGCTACCATGTTAATTACCATGTTAATTTTCCTGTTAATCATGTGTATGTGATCAAAGGGCGAGACCAGGATGATTGATCACATTGCTTTTTGATTTTTTTGAGGGACTTAAAAGAACAGAAAAAAATATAATTTGGGCATAAATATGCAGAATTTGAGTTCTGCACAAGCTGTAAAGGTACCTAAAAGGACAGTTCACCCCAAGATCAGTAATATAAATTTTCCTGCTTAACTGTAGTGCTATTTATTAATCTAGATTGTCCTCAAAGCACCAAAAAATATATTTGAAAAACTCAACAGCAATGTCTCTCTCTAGAAATCATGATACAGTTACTCAATATAATCCACAGACCTTGTTGTGAGCAGTTTCATGTAGGAACTATATTCTTTCTGCTGAACTACACCCCCCAACAGTTTCACAGCGCAGCAGGAAGCGTGCATCTACTCATGGATGAGAGGCTCATGTGCTTGTCACTGCGAGATGTAAATATTGATGGTGTCTTAATTGGCTAAGCTGTAATGCTAGCTTGCTCAGTGGTGTTAAATGAGCTAGCAGTGGATGCATGCTTCCTTCTGCGCAGTGATATGGTTGGCAGTTGTAGATAGACAGAAATAAAAAATAGTTACAACATGAAAATGCCGACAACAATGTCTGTTGGTCATCTGGTAAGTAACTGGTCATGATTTCTGGAAAGAGACATTGCTGTTGAGTTTTTCAAATGTATTCTTTAGTGCTTTGAGGCACCATAAAGTAACTGTCATTTAGTTCCATTATATTAGAGAGATGGCAGACTACCACCGATATCACCAACACTCTGCAACTCGCACCAGAACAATCGAGATTGATAAATAGCACTACCTGGTAAGAGGAAAAATATGTAATTTTTATTTGGGGGTTAACTGTTCCTTTCAAGGTTTTGCACAATTACTCATTGACCGCTGGTGGTGCATCAACAAACATAGCAATGTGCCAACAAAGGCAGTGAAGAAGAAGACGGTCAGCTTCTCTGTAAACAATGCAAGATTTAAAATATTGGCTTTGCAAATACTTCATGAGGAAGGAACAGCTTTCATCGTATTTGTTAGACCATGTGTTTTGCTGAGTAATAATTAATGTTAACATATTTTAAACTTTGTTTACAAGAGAACTCTGCAGGGCACCTTTTAACTGAGACCCAAACAAAAAAATACCTGCATCTTTAAGACCTGATTGACTTTCATGGCCAAATTTTACACTCAAGTCTGATCTGTGACCTGAAGCAATAATTAAATTTATTACTGATCTTTATTGGACTAAGCTAATGCAACTAATTGCATACACTCTTGTCTTGCTCTTCCCAATGGGCACTGCAGTTTGACTTACTATACATGCCATGCATGGGCAAAATAACCTAACCTCATCTGAGCTTAACACAATAAAACTGCCTTTACTCCACCAATAACACTACATTTCGTTGACTCATTGAGTTAGGTAACAAAAGTCTTCTTCATAACCATTTGCTGGTTGGCCATAAGTCACCCTTATTTTACTGCAATGGCCTTCTCAAACCGCTCAGGTCAACCAGAGAGCCCAGACCTGTTATTTGTTATCGCATTTACCCATGTGATAGCCACCCATGCTAATATTGATCTCTTGCCATATAAAGCAGTTGGTACGCATTGCTTCAGATGTGTCCAAACATCTAAGTGAAAGATATCTATAGCTTCAGGTTTTATGCGCCTCGTAACACATTTTGCATCCTACTTTTTTGGCCTTGAATATATTTTCCAAATGGCGTCTCTGTAACAGCTACCACCTCTGTGAAGCTCACAGTAATTAGCTTTTGTCTCGACTGTCACACAAATGTAATTCAGTGTTATTTTTGAGGTTGTTGTTTTTCAGTGATTTTCTAACTACTCAGTCGAATCTTGGTTTCTTTAATGAGCTCAATCTTTGCCACCACTGCTCTCCCAAACCAGCGCATTTTTTTTCTGCTTTTGGCAAATGCTGTCATGATTTACTGAGAGTTTCTCTTGTCATATGATAATTTTTGAGACTGATGCAACAGCAGTTTGAGTGCCAATTATTTGCCGTCTTTGTTAGTCTGTCAGTTACCCTGTGCTGCTTTAAAACATGTCTTCAAACACTGCTGCTTATTTTACTGCTCTTTAATATTACAAGTATGAATTCACTAATCTGAAATGATATTCCAGGCCAGATTTTAAAACAAAGCTACATTGATTCAAGCAGCTTGCAAATATGTTTGTTTCATTTTCTTTAATCAGAACTGCACAAATTAACTAGTTATCTGTGTCAGTTTTCATTCATAACTTCTATTATTTCAGGAAAGTGAAAGCAAAAATTGAAATTGTGTTACAGAATAAAATAAATGTTTCAAATGTTTTAACAGCACATGATGCAGGCTCGTAATGAATTTCCAAATTGTCTGTTTTCTGTGTCCAGATTTGTTAAAATTTAAAACCCACTACATGTTATATTTGCATACAGAATGATGCCCATTGTTTTTTTCCTCATATTTCCAATGTATTTAATTGGGAAAATGCTTTATTAATCATCAGTGGAAGAGTTTCAGACCCCACTGACATCACGATCTTGCTTTGTGTTTCTGTAGTACCAGCATTACAGTGGGATTGATTTTGACTCTGAGCTCCGCTTGCTGATCCATCAGAGTTTGGCAGGGGGCATCATCGGGGTAAAAGGTGCCAAGATAAAGGAGCTGAGAGAGGTAAGACAGAGTCCAGATTAGCAGGCGCCTCGCCATGATGCTTTGCACCAACAGTTAGCCTGGAGATGAATTGTTAGAATCATAATTGTCACCTGTAGCAAAGCAATCACAAGTGAATTTGATTGTCTGGTTTTAAGTCTGACATTGTCATGTTTCCATGCACCAGAACACCCAGACCACCATCAAGCTGTTCCAGGAGTGCTGTCCACACTCCACTGACAGAGTTGTCTTGGTGGGAGGAAAGCCAGAACGTGTCATTGAATGTATAAAAGTTATCCTGGAGCTGGTGTCAGAGGTGAGTTTACATTTCTGAGGTCTGTTGAAAGTCTCAAGAGACTATATACAGTCATGTGTTTCATGTCATACAGATGTAAGGATAGTTGGAGGACTTAAGGCAGCTCATTTCAACAGTTATTTCAGAACAGAGCAGCCTTTGACAGTCTCTTTTATTGTCCTTTCATTTTACAGGCGCCAATCAAAGGCCGTGCCCAGCCTTATGACCCTAATTTCTACGATGAGACATACGACTATGGAGGTTTCACCATGTTATTCGAGGAGAGAGGCAGACGACCCATTGGCGGCTTCCCCATCCGTGTGCGCGGGGGCTTTGAGCGCATGCCCCCGGTTCGTGGCAACAGACCCATGCCTCCCTCCAGAAGGGATTACGATGACATGAGCCCCCGTCGGGGTCCTCCACCACCGCTGAGCAGAGGTGGCCGAGGGGGCAGCCGAGCACGTAATCTGCCTCTTCCCCCGCCACCACCACCAAGAGGAGGGTAAGGAGGGGCCCACTCAGTGTTGATGCTTTCACACCTCTAATCTGATTGGTTTTGTTAAAATGAACTCTGGTGTGTTTGCCTTAGTGTTTTGTTTCGTAGTGAACAGACAGTAACAATCTGCAATAATATAAAGAGATTGAGATACAGTTGCATTTAATTTTTTTAACACTCTTTCCTTGCTTGTCTTTGTTTGCAGGGGAGACCGGTTCTCACATGGCAGCTATCATGGCGGCATGGACGACAGACCAAGGTGAACACGTAGTAGGATTGTCAATAATTTAATTTCTCTCAAAAGCAGAGTGACAGATATCCGTGTAAGTTGCTCAGTAGCAGAATGTCAACCCACCAGCCCTGCTTCAGAGTGTGATCACAGGTCATCTGTAGAGTCCGCATGTCCTTTCACACTCACAGCTTTTTAAATACCAATCTAACAGCGCTGACCTGCTCGATACTGTAGTGTTAAGTGTCCTCCAGAGTGGAGAAACTATATTAATGCATACCTTTTTTGTCTGTAGTGACAGAAGAGGCCGAGGGGGAGACCGTTACGACAGCATGGTGAGTGCCGTCTGTGTTTACAGGTGCTGCTGTAAAGCTAAGCTGTATGTTTGTAGCGTCCTGGCTGTGTGTAGTAGGTGTGAATTATATTTCAGACGAGGTGATTGGAATTCCTTTTTCTGAGTGTAGTACAAGCATGGAGGCATGGACACTGTGCTGCTTTTTCACTGTGTATGCACACTGATCTGGGCCTGTTGTTGCCTGGCAACAGTTGTCTCCGTGGTTACCACAGAGCAGCTGAGTACGTAGTCCAGAGATCCACCAGGCTAGCAAATGAACTTGAGCTGAAACCAAAGCAATTCCTGAACAGGTTTCCTTCAGCAAATAGTTTCAATAAGAAGCCAAAGAATACATTTGATCAAATAAATACCAATATGCTGTCTGTCGATTAATTCTTGACATTTAAGAACAAACATGTTTTCCTTCAGACGGGCATAAATACTCAGACATGAATCTTTTTTATTTTAAAGGCCGCTGAGATTTTTAAAAATCAAAATGCAAATTAATTTTAGCAGTTAGTCTCAAGAGAAGACAAATCACTTAAAAATGATATTATTCTTAGATAAGGAATGATGCTTATCACTTTTTTTACTCACCAAAAACTATGTAAATTCAGCATTTGATTCACAATTGGAAAATGTTTATATTATGCTCAAATAACTTCAAAACGTATGCAGAAATGTGTGTTTTATTTATTGAGTGTATAGTCTTTCTCTAATTAACACTCCTCCATTAAGACATTTCTCTAACAATTTCAACGGCATTATGGGGTTCAGACAAATTACAACCCTGCATTTAGATGTACTAAATATGAGTTATTAATTCTTTGGTTAAATGAACACTAAATGTGACCATTGTAAAATGGTTTCAACTTTTATTCTTACATTGTATATTGTTTTATTTTTCGTGTCTTCGTGTGTCTGCTTCTCACACAGTGTTGTTTTATCTTAGAATAAAAAGAATCTGTTTTAAGGCCCTTTTCTTTCCACTCAAAACTAACCAAAATCTGAAGAGCTGTGTGAACTATAAAGTCTCATATTCAGCAGAAATACACTTAGCGGCCTCTTAATCAGACACATATTTCTAAGACTGGGTGAGACCCTCGTTTGACCCTAGAACGGCCTGAATTCTTTATGCCATGAGTTCAACAAAGTGCTGAAACATTCTTTAGTGATGGTGGTCCATGTTGACGTGATGGCATCATGCAGTCGCTGCAGATTAGTCAGCTGTACATGTCATGCTGCAAGTCTCCTGTTCTACGACATCCTTAAGGTGTTCTATAGGATCTGGTGACTGTGGAGGCCATTGGAGTACGCTGAACTCACTGTCGTGTTGGAAGAACAAGCTTGAGATGATGTGTGCTTTGTTTGTGTTATTCTGTTGGAAGTAGCTATTAGCGGAAGTGTAGACTGTGGTCATAAAGGATGCATGTGGTCAGCAACCACACTCAGGCTGTGGCATCTAAACAATGCTTAAATGGGACCAAATGTGTGTTAAGAAAATAGTCCCCACACCATAAAAGCCAATTCATACTGAATGTCATCTTCCGCCCATGTCGGCAAGAGTCCATGGGGACCTCTTTGTGGATGTCAGTCTGCAGCCCAAAGTTTGTGACTGGGAAGGTGTACACATAGCAAGCACACCAACTACACATGCTGCAGGTAGAAAAATATCGTCTCTTGTCCCACACTCCTGTCCTGGTGACGTATGCACCTCTAGCTGGTTTGCAAAGAGACAAAAATGGGTGCTTGTTTTGGAGAAAGATTGTGTGAGGAGTTTCGCCATTACCAGCAATTACATAATTTGTCTCTAAAGGAATACAAAGGCAGCCAACTGGCCTTGAACTCGTGGTGAGCAATTTAGCACATTCTTGGGAGAGATGAAAATGCCTGTTATCAGATATGGAAATATCTGTGAGACAGATGTATAATGATTGCGATATATTACGAAATATACAAATCAAAGTACAGTTGGACATGGAACACAGAGAGTATGTTGGAGCTTTTCACCATCACCAGCCTCCATGGATTTGTGGCAGAAGTCAAGATTCATCAGACCAGGCAATGTTTTTTCCAAACTTCTACTGCTCAGGACTTAAGTTAACAGAAGTCTTGCAGGATTCAATTGTAAAACATAACTGCAGTCCTCACACTTTTTGCCTGCATGTCAAAAGTGTCAGAATTGCAAAAGCGTATCCTGTCCTTGTCTGTAGATGGTACATCAACATGTTTACATCTGCACTTCCTAAATGCTGCAGCTGTTGCCAGTCTTGGTCTTGCCAACAGATCGTACATGTTGGACTTGAACTGCAGGTCTAACTGCTCACCAATGATAATGTGTCTCTGTGGGAGTAAGGTTGTGTATTTACCATAGACTGTATAAGCTTTTCAGGAGTGAGAGCTTTAAAGGTGTGTCTAAACCATATTATCAAATTAACAATTCCAGAAACACTCATTATCTCAGGTTGGTCCATAAGTTACCTCAGATTGTCTCAGTAGCCAGTTTCGAATCAATGAGGTACTTTTCAGATAAAGTGGAACGGGATATTTGAAGCATGAATGTCATTGAAACATGTGCAGGAACTGCTTAATGCTGCAAAATCAGAACAGACCCAGATCTGAACTGAATCCTGTCGTACAGAAAACGTTGAAAGGCTCTGATATCATACTGTCATTATTGTGTCATTAAAACTGTTCTATGTTTCCCCTTTTTTTCTCCATTCATCCCTGAAATGCAGAGTGGAGGCGGATATGGTGAGTGTTGATTAATGTAAATTCTGCACAGATTTACAGTTATTTCATCAAAAATCATGTCTTCTTTTTTTTTCCAAAACGTAAGTTCTATGATTATAGTTTCTGCCACTGCTTGTTTCAGACATGTCATTTGAGGGCAGCCACTTAGTCCACTATATTAGGTACACTTGTACAAGCCTGTGCAGTCCGATACAACAGCCCTGATGTAACATCTGTTTTCATAAAGCTTACTATGTTCAATTTTTGGCAACATTTTTGTTTATATGTAAATTCAGTTATGTTCATTACTGAGGTCATAGTTAAAGGTGGTTTTGGACTGGACTACATTATACAGAGAAGTGAAACATCTCTTAATATAACGCAATACAGTACTGTATTAGATTGCATTAGATTGTACATGTGCTGACGCAGACACTGAGTGTATAAATCTAAACCACTTTTTAAAAAAAGTAAATGTTAGAGTTAACTCCAAAAATGTGCAGCAACTGATCAGCCTTTTCTTGCAGAGAGACTTCCTGGTTAAATGTTGGCTTACTGTTCTTTGGCTTAATACAGTAATTTGACTAAAAATGGATGATCGTGACAGACGTTTCATTGTATTTAGCCCTTTTATAAGTACATAGTTTTTATGATTGGGTTCAACTGAGATATGTTTAAAACGTTTTAAATTAAAAACATTAATAGGTGAATGAACTGTAATGCTCAGTAGTTGAAAACCTGTCTGATCACTCATGTTGTTTGCTTTTAAAAACTCTGTTGTACCGTTTTGGCTGCAGGTTTTGACATGTCCTCAATCCTAGGAATGACATCAATGAATAGACCATTCCTATTAAGAAAAACAACAATATCATTTTCCTGTAATCAATTTGTTAGAGCACATAAAGGGAAAATGTATTTGTCTGGGGCATTTGCTGTATTGCTTGTTTACAATCACACTCTCTCTTGTCTTTGTCCCCGTGGTTCATTTTCATTTTTCACTCGTTTCCTTTTCGATGTTCTCAAAGACAACAATTCTTCCTGGGAGCACTTTCAGTCTGGTGAGTGGGGATGGATTATTATTGTCCCAGTGTCTTGTCTCCTAACCTGATCTAAAGGGAATGTTTCTTCTCATTGCATTATTTAGTTAAAGAGAGTTTCACCTTAAAAAGTCTTTCTCACCTTCTCCTGTAGGGGGTCGAGGCTCATACAGTGATATCGGAGGCCCTGTCATCACAACACAAGTCACCATCCCAAAAGATGTAAGTAAAACATCTATTCTCAAAAAACATGATTTTTACAATAAAGAATGACACAAAACAGACACTTCACTCCTAAATCCACTTTCAATTGGCCTGTGTGGTTGTTTTGCAGCTGGCTGGCTCCATCATTGGTAAGGGCGGCCAGAGGATCAAGCAGATCCGCCATGAGTCCGGGGCATCCATCAAGATTGATGAACCACTAGAGGGCTCTGAGGACCGCATCATCACCATCACAGGAACACAGGACCAGATCCAGAACGCCCAGTATCTGCTGCAGAACAGGCATGTGATCCTGTGATTCCCCCAAACAGCTCATCTCATTGTAGCAGTGTCTCCTCTGATGGCCTGTGTGTTCATCCACCACTGAATGGAAGCAAACACTACTATAGTTGCTTACTTAGATAGTTAACTTCAGCTTAACCTTGGTGACCCCCATGAGTAAATCTGTCTTGCAGTCAGGTGAAACACAAACAGACTTAATAATAGATTACATAAAATATATAATAAGGTTTGTTCACTGATAGTGTTATGTTAAGAGTCCTATACAATGTAATGCATATACTATCACAACCATTTCCTAAGAGGTTTTAGATTAGAAGTTGACCAAGAGCTAGAGCTTTAAAAGTATTGGTTGACTAACTGATTAATTGATCAACAGAATTTAATTGGCAACTGATTTGATAATGGATTACTCATTTTAATCATCTGATAAGCAAACACAGGAAAATTTTATGGTTTCACTTTCCTAAATGTGAAGATCTGCTTCCTTTGTTGTTGTCACCTTAAACTGTTAACTGAGGCCCTGTCTACACTTATAGAGATATTTTTTAAAAAGAGATACTTTTTCTCTTCGTTTAAGTAAAAATTAAGACCGGACAATCCTCGATTTACAAAATGTCTTTGTTCATACTAGAATGCAAAAATGAATCAAAACACTTGCCTGTGGTAGCTGTCTTTCACAGTCTCTCCTCGTCGCAAAGGTAGTAAAGTGTACAGCCTTCATTTTTCAAAACACTTACTGTAGATCTCATCACTGTTCATAATGATGAAGGATCTCACTCAAAGACATGAGTGACGCCCTGGACATGGAAAGTTTTCCTCCTGGTTCGACCAGGCCTGATCCAAAATCATTAGTTTCTGGGAAACTTTAAACTGCGGATGCTGAGGTGGACCAAATAGCGTTGTGCGCAGCAGGTACCTCCATTTGTGAAATGGTGCAGCAATACAAAGTTTTAAGCTGTGGGCCCTGACACACAAGTCCCAACAGTTGGTCAACACTGGGCAGTTGGTGAGTGACTGCCGCCCCAGTTTTTGTGGAGTGTCCCACATTGTTGCCCCTTGTTGCCTTTTTTTTTCTTTGGCCAATTCAACATATCAAATACATGTTGGACCTGGCAGACCCCACTGATGAATGAAATCACTCTGATTGGCAGTTCAGCTCAGTGTACGAGAAGAGAAATGGAAGTGAGGAAAGTAAACAAACAGCGTAAGACAAGAGGGTATGAGAACATTGCATTGTGTTGTTAATGTGCTTACTGGCTAACCAGCATCTTGAACATGTCTTCTGGTTTCCTTTTTTTAAATGAAGAAAACAGACTACTGCCACCTGTTGGTGTGGATAAGTATTTACTCTCATGTAGATGCAGATTGTATGTGCTAGTTGGCCGTTGGCTGTAGTTGACCTTTGTTACCACTCGTTTTTTGGATGTTGGTTTGGTGTTTCTGGGCTTTGAAGTAGTCATTAGACTGAGCAGTGCCAACAAAAAGTAAACAACTTATAGGTAGTTCGCCATTGTTATTGTCTATGGCCGATTCTCATTACACAAAGCAACAGTGGACAAGGATGAATTGAGAAGATGACATCATTTTCCAAACACTCTGTTTTCTTTTTTTTTTTTAATTTTTTTTAAAGATTATTTTTATGGGCTTTTTGCCTTTATTGACAGGACAGAAGGTGAAATGGGGAGACAGAGAGAGTGAGTGGGGACTGACATGCAGCAAAGGGCCGCGAGCCGGATTCGAACCCACGGCCGCTGCAGCGAGGCGATGCCTCTGTACATGGGGCGCCGGCACTATCCACTACGCTACCGACGCCCCAAAACACTCTGTTTTCTAAGTCCACATGGGTACAAATAACCAGAGTTTTAAAAAATCTAAATCTTAGAAGGTGCTTTAAAAACCTCTGTTTTAGTGGCCTAAACTGCTTGCATGTGGAATATCAGTTTTCAAAAACATCTGTATACATGTAGATAGGGCCTGAATATGTTTGGGTTTTGGGCTGTTGATCTGATACAACAACTTGGGCACTGTGAAACTATATGAGGCGTTTTTCACTAATTTGACATTTTATAGACAGAAGTTCTTTGCAGAGTAATCAATTCGATAATGAAATTAAATATCAGTTACAGCCCTAGTTTTATTAAACTTCTGTGCAACCCTGAGATTTTACTGGAATCAGTGCTTTACTGCCTTTGATAAATGTTCACATTTTGCACACCATGCCAGAACATAAGGCTGTAGAGCCTTTTTTCCTAACACCAGTATTTCATCTTGAAGAGCTTTTCAGTTCACAGACACTTCCTTTCCTCCCATCACTAAATGGCTAAGCTGGTCTCAGCAGTCATAATGCTTCTTGCAGACATAATTTATTTCCAGCCTTGACCTTGGCATACTTTTTATAACTTACAGTTGTGCTCCACATGAAAAATTACTCACAGTTTGTAGCATCCAGCATTAACAGCTCCTGACCCATGTCACGTTCCTGTTCAAATAAATATTCTTAATGTTATCATGAAATGTCCTTACCTTCATCTGTCTCTTATTTCAGTGTGAGGCAGTACTCCGGCCGGTTCTTCTAGGGAAGAGGGAAGCGAAGAAGACGAGTGAAGCCATGCTGCCATACTGTTTCTTCCTTCTATTCAGAGCCTACATTCCTCTGCTTTGCCTCCTCCCCTCACGATCACACACTACACCATCTATCTATAAAACACATTTTTTATTTTTGAGGAGTTTTGAAAAAAAAATCTTAAGCTGTCAAACAGCAAACAAGGAGTCAGCAACATGTTTCTGTGCTGGTGTAGTTATTTTTCAGGAGATTCTTGTGCCGTCATTGGAGTAAACTCATCCGTGTGATAACTTTTGGTGTTGTGAGCCACCCTGGGCCCTTATCTCCCTCATTTCAGTACAGCATGCAGAATGTAATCTTTTTGTAAAGAACATTATGTGAGTTTCAGTTTGTTTTTCCCCCCTCTCAAACGTTTAAGCACACTCTCTAAATGAAGATGCATGGTCTCAGAATGGTTAAAAAAACATTTAAATAAGTTTTAATTTTTACACAACATCCAACATCCCTTTCCTCTGGTAAGTGAAGTGCTTTTTGTAAGATTGGCTTTAATGGAGGAGTTTGACATTTTGGGAAACGTGCTTACTTGCATTCTAGTGGAGTGTTGGATGATATGATCATGACCACTCTTATGGCTGTATGGTAAATATGAAGCAGCAGCCCGTTAGCTTAGCTTAGCATAAAGACTGGAAACAGGGAAAACATTTGGCAAGCTCTGTTAGAGGGCAACATACTCCACCTACCAGCAACTGCAAAGCGAGTTAATTAACATGTTCAAATGTAAAAACTTCATTTTTTTTTTAGCATTATCTTCACTTCGGGAGTCTCTCCTTGTTGCTTGGCAACATTAACTGGCCAAGAAATAGACCAAATCACCATGACATCTCGCTAACAGTCAGTTCAAAGTAGAACAACTAGCAGTAGATTACAATTGCAGAAATATGTAAAATTGTGAAACTTGCCAAAATGCCGTCATTTTCAGCTGTTACGTTTAAAGAAGTATTGTTAAACACGATGGTCAGAGCTATCTGATGTTTCTGCTGTGCTCATTTTAGGTAGTTTGTTGCTTTGGTATCATCTTTAATAAAGCAAATTCACCGGCACGGAAGCTAAGCAGTGTATTTTACCCACCAAAAAAAATGTATGCCAGTGTAAGTGTACGCTATATTTTAATAATTGTTTCACTTTACTATACACACTAACCAATCGATGCCATGGTAGACCAACAACTTGGTGTTCTGCTGAGTTAAATTACTATTTTTGTCAATGGAGTCTGGTGGCTTTAATATAACAGCTTCTGTTCCTAAAGCTATGAGAATATTCTACATATAGCACACATTTAAACTGATGATTGATTTTTTTTGGTCTGCCTTTGGTTGGTGGCAACAAAACAAACTAATTGAGGCAGAGTGTACCCCGCGCTGTTGGATTTTTTTGTAGTGCCACAAGGATTTTCTACCTGGAAGTTATTGTAAATAAACATTGTGATTCCATCTATGGTGGGACAAGCAACCCCCTGTAAAACGATGAATTGTCGTTTTTATCTTTTTATAGGAATAAACAAATGATATATAAAGTGTTAATTACAGAGCCTTTAAAGTGCCTGTACGGTAGATGGACTTTGAATAGTTCAGCAGAGCCAGGGTAGCTGTTTCCTCCCCATTTCCAGTCTTTGTGCTAAGCTTATGGCTGCTAGCAATAACTGGACAGATATGAGAGCCCTATAGTGTCAATGTTTTTCTCTACTCTCAGTCAGAAATTGGATAAGAAGTCTCTCCCAAAATGTCATACTTATGCTTTAAGTTTGAAAAAATGTGCCAGTGTGATAGAGCAAAAAGATTTTTTTAAAAAAAGGTATTTGTTTTTCATAGAAAGACAAGGAGCTGTATAAAGTGTGTGTATATATTTATATAGAAACAGTAATTTCATGAGTGGTTAGGTTAGGCAGGCCCAGGATACTTTCTACTTTCTCGGAAGGATTTGGTGCCATAAGACAGTTTTGGAAATCTTTTTTTTTTTTTCTGTTTCTATGGTTATTTGATTTTCTGCCACTCATGACTCGCTGTAGTTCAGCCTTTATATCTGATCTGTTTCATCCATTTATTCTTGAAAGGTTTTTTTTTTTTTTTTTAAATTTTGAGAGTTTGGACGCATTTTTAAAGCTTCTTTTTCTTTTTTTGTTTGAAAGTTTAAGATGCAGTGTCACATGAGGAGCGTTCAGCTTTGTGAGTCCATGAGTGGTGTTTTCTGTCAGGTCATATCTGTATCTGTGTCTGATATCTGTAGTACCTGCAGGTGTTTAGTAAATAAAGTCTGTGTCACAGTTCACCCAGTGTGTGTATTCTGCATTTTTTTCAACAGAAGAATAATAAATGTTTATCCAGTGCTGGTTGTAATTGGCTTCCAGTGAATTGGCTCAGCCTGTTGCTCTGTTACATGTATCCGTAGTTCGCTAGTTAACACCGGAAATTAGTTCCCATAATGTAATAGTGAGAGCAGACACTGTTTCCCATCAGAGCTCAGCCCTCTGCTCTGTCACATGGTCACTGTTGGTTTTCACTCAGGATAGAGGACGGGGCAAACTAAAGTGGACGCAGAGGAAGAAAACACCGAGCATCACCTGTCCAGACACAATACCTCACGAGAGCATCCTTTTCTTTGGCCCGGAGACTTTTATCAGTGTTTGTGTTGTGTAGTGGCGCTATGAAGTGAAACTCCGCCATATTCAGCCCACCACGCCCGGAGCACAGCTACTAGGGTTGAAGACTCGCTTCTGCTTGTCTGTCCTCTGAACTTGTGCAAACTTATTTCCTCTTCACAGGACAGGAACAAGGTAATACAAACAGCCTTGACACTAACGACTTCGTTAAATTTACATTTTGTTAAAGCTTGTTTTCGGCTCAGGGATAAACTATGTTGGCGAGCGCAGAGGGAATTCAGTTGGAGTTAATGAGAACATATTGACTTTGTGATACTCTGGGATTTTTTTATTCGTGTGTAAACAACATTATGAATGTGTGTGTGTACCGTGGAAGGTGGAGTGCTATCCAGGAGTAATGACTCTGAGCTCCGTGGGGGCTTGCTGCCTCAGCCCAGAGGCCAAAGAAGCTCGGAGGATCAACGATGAGATTGAGAGGCAGCTTCGCCGGGACAAGAAGGACTCACTGCGGGAGTACAAGCTCCTGCTGCTCGGTAAGGTACCAAAACACAGGCTGTCTGTAATATTTATATGAAAGGATAAACAGTAAAGTGGTCTTAGAAGTATTAACATCTTACTTAACTCTTTCATACCTGAGCAAATTGGCTTGATTTCTTTAAAAAACATAGGAAGAAGGCAGTGAGCAACTTAACTAGAAATGACTCAAAAATAAATAAATAAAATAAAATTAACAGTAAGAAGTTACAAGAATATTACCTGAAAAAAAGGCAAAAAAATGGAAAAATACATACTCCAAAAATTAGACATTTTCCCCTGTTTTTTAATAATAATTTTCAAAGAATTATCAGTCTTTCTCAATTTTTAAAAAAATAATTTTCAGGTCCTCTTTTACCAGTTTCTTGCTCATTCTCATTTTATTTTCCATGTTTTTGAAAAAATACAATCAAATTGATTTGCTCAGGTTTCAAAGGTTTAAGTTAAGGATTAAGTTGAAAAAAAGCAGTATTCATTCAAATGTGCACTTAAATCATAGATGTATTAATGAAATGTAAAGTATCAAAACTAAGTGAAGTGAACACTTTCAGTGTTATTGTATTTTGTGTATCATTGTATTATTATTATTACTGATGCATTAACATGTAAGGAAGATGTTGATGTTGCAGGTTGAGTAGATTTAATTTTATGTGTTTTCAATGTATTGTTGGGTAGTTTGATTTACAACAATGCATTATTTTATGATGATCATTATCGTTTTGTATGTTAAATCCTAATCTATAAAGAAATCATTTACTATAGCTGTTAAATAACTTCATGTAGAAGAACATGGAAATACTTGAGTAAAGTACAAGTACCTCAAAACTGTACAAACTGGAGTAAATATTACTCTCCAACATTGTCTAGCAGCATAAAGATGGTAAGATTAGCTCCATCGTGACAACAAAATATTGCTTACACATTAATCCACAAGTAATATTCCACTAATATACTGTATATATGATAAATAGAATATACTGAATGATGCTGTGAATCACCAGAGGATCTACGATACAATTATTATCATGATACTCAAGTCAGGATATGATATTATTGCGATTTTAAATATTGCAATATACTGAGTATTGTGATAAAATATATTGGGATTTATAACCTTTTCTGAACTGCATATTATGTCCCTGAAGGAAAACTATCTAATAAGATAAGATTTTTGCAACAGCAGCAGAATATATCTAGTGGACCATATTAATAATTTATATAATAAAATATCTATACTTGGCACTGCCACTGTGTGAAAAATATTGCAATACTATGCTGTATTGAAATTTTTCTCCCACCCCTAATTTTGCAGAACTTATAGTTTTTATACTGTAATTGTATTTTTGCTTCAAATACTTTTAAATGCAGGACTTTTTCTTGTCATTCTGTGTTTTAATATTGTGGTTTTGCTACTTTTCTAAGTTAAAAGATCTCACTAATTCTTCCACCACAATGATATAAATTATTTAAAGCTCCTCACCAAAAAAAAAAGAAATAAATAAACATACAAATCCTTTACTTAATTGGCCTTGAAAGCACTTGAGTGCATAATGATGTGTTTGTGGTTCACTATGAACAGTTAATGTGCACTGTGAAATGATGCAGCTGTGTCTGGTCACAGTACAGGCCACCACAGAAATCTCTACAGTGATAGCACAGTGGGTCGAAAAACATTATTATCATTGTAACCAGTAGCGTAAGGAGGATTCAGATCCATTAATGTGACTCACCACAATGTATTATCAGCTAAGTGTATTTTAAACAATAGAAAGTAAAGGTACTCATGCAGTAAATGTTCCATGTGAGAGTTATTGATTATATGATTGGCTTGTTTTTATTGATGCATTAATGTGTGAGATGCATTTTGATCTTGTAGCTGGTTTAGGTGGAGCACATTTGAAGTAGCTAATTAGTGTTTGATAGTTTTATCTGTAACAATTCATCATTTTTATAAACAGATAATATACGTAGTTAGTAGGTATAACCTTCATCTGTAAATTAACTAGTAACTACAGCTGTCAGGTGAATATAGTGGAGTAAAAGTACAATGTTTTCTCTGCAAAGTAATGTTGTAGAAGTTTAAAACAGCAGAAAATATACCCCAAAACTGTACTCAGTTACAGCAAATGAGCCTCCGTCTCTGATTATAGACTCACATCAGTCCCAACTGGCAGATAAATGAATGATAGCTATATCACTTTAAAAGGCTGGCCACATTTTATTTGTTACTTGACAAAGGATGAGTCAGCAATGTTGTGAGTAAGTATAAGGTGTAGTATGGTCACACAGGTTCTGTTATTCTGCTTTCAAAAATGATTGACTCACAGTAACTGTGAAACCACCCTTTTAGGTTCAAAAGTCAGACGTGTCGTTTCAGTGCTTTCCAAACGACGACCACATACTTTGAACAAGTCTTCAGTTTCAAACTGTGCACCATGTTAGATTTAAATCAATCAGAATAATCCTATTTTTGAAAATCTCTTGTAAAATGAAAAAAGTAACACGCTGATCTCTTCACTCTGTCGACAAAGCTCTGTAACTGTTGCCAATAAATGCTTTCATTTCAGCTTCATCAGCCACAGGGGGGAAATGCTGCAACTTCTCCTAGTTCAGCTTTTTACAGGCAGTCACTACTGAGATGACAAAATACTATTTGTAAAACTTGACTCAAAGTATAAACCTAAGATCCTCAGGGCCGGGGAATAAGATAAAACCCAGACTAAGGTAATTCATGTACAGTAAGTCCAGGATTACACAACAGTGATGTGTGGAAGTACTTCACACACAACACAGGCTGGTGATAGTCTGTATTTTTACATTGTAAACAAATCCCATGAAGAGATCAAAGCTAACCATTAATTGATCCCACTCTCCCTCTGTCGAGATAGCGTGATGTAGCTAATTTCTTTGTGCCATAGACTGCTCCATTATTCTGGCACAGAGTCTATAGGCACACTAGCAGCTCTGTGGGGCTGTACTTTGGCACAGTGGTGCTTTGAGTTAAATGCTAACATCAGCATGCTAACACGCTCACAGTGACAATGCTAAAAGGCTGATGTTTAGCAGGGGAAATGTTTACCATGGTTCCCATTTTAGTTTACACATCTGTCATGGAGGAAAAGAGATCACCAAAATTAAGAACAGAGAAATGGACTGACACATCGTTGTGTTTGGTTTTTTAATGGGATTGACAATTTAATAAATATAGAATAATTCCAGCCGTTTCTTTTTTGGGTAAAGGACCCAGACCCTACTTTCCCATGCATTATTGTCTAAGTGACTATTGGGAACAACGATTTTTAGTATTAAGCTAAACAGGCTGCAATGTAACCACTCGGGGCATGTTCGCATTGTCAGTTTTTGTCAAGTAAAAGTGCTTGTTTTTCCTCTGACGTGCTCTGATTATTATTCTAAGTGTCTGACAACTTATGGACACAGAGATAGAACTTTTTGCAAAAGAGTAACATCCTTTTAGTTTAACCAAAAACAGCCTCAAAATTACCATTGCCATACACACCAAACTCAATTTAATTTAACTGTAATTCTATCGTTATAAAACAGACTTCATTCAAAATCAACAGCAAGATATGTCATTTAGATGTGAAATTATGCTGGTTCTATGCACAATAAAATTACTGTTGATTTAAATAGAGTCTGGTGAGTTTAGTGAGAGGGATTTTGGCTATCTGGCTAAACAAAAAGGATCTTACTCTTCAAAAGAAAGTTCTATCTCTGTAGGGATCCTTTTGATAAGTTGACAGACACTTACAGAAACAATCTGAGCCTGTCAGTGGCAAAAACAAACACTTTTAGTGGACGTAGATTGACAAAGCAGAAATGCCTCAAATGTTAATATTGCAATCTACATCACCTCCAACAGCTGCAGCGGTCTTGCTTAATGCTGGACTGATTTCAAAAACCGTTGTTCCCATAAGACACATAGACACATTAGCATGGGAAAATAGAGTCCAGACTAAAAAATACTAAGCCTACTTTTTAAGTCGATACGTGTGTGTACAGTAATGCTATGTATCTGTTGGTGAATAGGAACTGGTGAAAGTGGGAAGAGCACTTTCATCAAGCAGATGAGGATCATCCACGGCCGTGGATACTCTGACGAGGACAAGAGAGGCTT